ATGCAGCAAATGCGTGGGGCAGCAGCACCACCTGGTGGTCAAAATGGAGAAGTGCAGGGATGGAGGCCTAAATGCAGCAAGTGCGTGGGGCAGCACCGCCATCTGGTGGTCAAAATGGGGAAGTGCAGGGATGGAGGCCTGGATGCAGCAAAGTGTGTGATGGCAGTGCCGCCCGGTGGTCAAAATAGGGAAGAGCAGGGATGGAAGTCTGCATGAAGGTAAGGGTTGTGGTGCAGCGCCACCTGGTGGTTAGAATGGAGAAGCGCAGTGATGGAGGCCTGGGTGCAGCAAATGCGTGGGGCAGCAGCACCACCTGGTGGTGGAGTCACAGAAGCACAAGGACAAAAGCCTGGAAGCAGCAAAGCACGTGTGGCAGCACCGCCATCTGGTGGTCAAGATGGAGAAGCGCAGGGATGGAGGCCTGGATGCAGCAAATGCGTGGGGCAGCAGCACCACCTGGTGGTCAAAATGGAGAAGTGCAGGGATGGAGGCCTAAATGCAGCAAATGCATGGGGCAGCAGCACCACCTGGTGGTCAAAATGGAGAAGTGCAAGGCCTGGATGCAGCAAATGCGTGGGGCAGCAGCACCACCTGGTGGTCAAAATGGAGAAGTGCAGGGATGGAGGCCTAAATGCAGCAAGTGCGTGTGGCAGCACCGCCATCTGGTGGTCAAGATGGGGAAGTGCAGGGATGGAGGCCTGGGTGCAGGGAAGGATTGTGGTGCAGTGCCACCTGGTGGTCAAAATGGAGAAGTGCAGGGATGGAAGCCTGGATACTCCAAAGCAATGTGACAGAAGCGCCACCCGGTGGTCAAAATGGAGAAGCGCAGGGATGGAGGCCTGCATGAAGGTAAGGGTTGTGGTGCAGCGCCACCTGGTGGTTAAAATGGAGAAATGTAGGGATGGAGGCCTGGATGCAGCAAAGCAATGCGACAGAAGCGCCCCTCGGTCAAAATGGAGAAGCGCAGTGATGGAGGCCTGGGTGCAGCAAATGCGGGGGGGCAGCAGCACCACCTGGTGGTGGAGTCACAGAAGCACAAGGACGAAAGCCTGGAAGCGGCAAAGCACGTGTGGCAGCACCGCCATCTGGTGGTCAAGATGGAGAAGCGCAGGGATGGAGGCTTGGATGCAGCAAAGCAATGCGACAGGAGTGCCACCCGGTGGTCAAAATGGAGAAGTGCAGGGATGGAGGCCTGAATGCAGCAAAGTGTGTGATGGCAGCGCCACCCGGTGGTCAAAATAGGGAAGAGCAGGGATGGAAGCCTGCATGAAAGTAAGGGTTGTGGTGCAGCGCCACCTGGTGATCAAAATAGAGAAGCGCAGGGGTGGAGACCTGCATGCAGGGAAGGATTGTGGTGCAGCACCACCAGGTGGTCAAAATGGAGAAATGCAGGGATGGGGCCTAAATGCAGCAAAGTGTGTGATGGCAGCGCCACCCGGTGGTCAAAATGGAGAAGCGCAGGGATGGAGGCCTGCATGCAGGGAAGGGTTGTGGTGCAGCGCCACCCGGTGGTTAAAATGGAGAAGTGCAGGGGTGGAGGCCTGGATGCAGGGAAGGATGTGCGATGGCAGCGCCACCTGGTGGTCAAAACCAAAAACTGCAGGGACGGAGGCCGGCACGCAGCGAGGCCGTGCGGCAGAAGCGCCACCGCGTGGTCAACATGGGGAAGCGCCGCCGGGCTCCGGAGCTCGCGCCCCGCACGGGCCCCCGGCCTGGCCCCGCGCACTGACAGCCCCACATGGCCCTGACCCACGAGCGCGGGAGCGTGCGGGGCTGCGGGACCCACGGAGAGGCCGGGGAGCACGGGGATGGGGGAGGGAGCACGGGGATGGAGGAGGGAGCACGGGGATGGAGGAGGGAGCACGGGGATGGGGGAGGGAGCACGGGGATGGGGGAGGGAGCACGGGGATGGGGAGGGAGCCCGGGAGCACGGGGATGGGGGAGGGAGCACGGGGATGGGGGAGGAGGGAGCACGGGGATGGAGGAGGGAGCACGGGGATGGGGGAGGGAGCACGGGGATGGGGGAGGGAGCACGGGGATGGGGGAGGGAGCACGGGGATGGGGGAGGAGGGAGCACGGGGATGGGGGAGGGAGCACGGGGATGGGGGAGGAGGGAGCACGGGGATGGGGGAGGAGGGAGCACGGGGATGGAGGAGGGAGCACGGGGATGGGGGAGGGAGCACGGGGGTCGGGAGGGAGCCCGGCCGCGCCCCGCACGCACCCCTCCTGGAAGGGGTAGGCCCAGGTGCTGTTTTCCGTGAGACACTTGGGACCGCGGCTCATGGAGACGGCGGAGACCACGAAGGAGTAGCCGGAGCCCAGAACGCCGACGACCGCGAAGATGATGGAGGTGAACATCTGAGGAGGAGGAGCGACG